ACACTAGACACTAGGCACGAATTAGATCTTTTCGAGAGAGAAGCTGAAGCTGAAAAAAAATCCACACCCTGTTTCCGCCCTGTCCGCCATGTCCTCCTCCTCCCATGTGGGTTTTTTAGTGGCTTTTGCTAGTACGATATAGTAAGGGAAAGTTTGTTCTGGAAGCGAATGCGTGGAAGATGCGGATACTTGATTGAGCCGAAGGATCAATGGTGAGGAGGGTTCATATTATGTTTCTGTATTTCCGAATATGGACGTGTAAGTGTAAGTGTATATTTTATGCCATGTTGAACTTTTTTTTTCACGAGAAATGTATTTTGTTTTTATGGGCAATGATGTTTTTGGTTTGTGTGAAAAGATTATAACGTAATTAATTGACAGAATAAAAATGGGAAGAAGAAAAAATGGACCGAAAAAAAGCAAATATAGATAGAGGAAGACCGAAGAAGAAAATCGTAGCGTATCATTTCATCTTTTGAGAATTTGACGCAATGGCTTGGCTACGGGACTAGAGTAGACAAGTCATTCACATGCATGAAGTCTTCTTCGGTCTTGCAAAATATCGGCCATGACCGCGGGACAAGTTCTCTAGGAAAGAGGCAAAAAAAATTGATCCCAATAGTTTGGAACGCCGGTTTGGACTTTTTACGGTTGGGAACCAATGAGATTATTGGAAAGGGGGTGGACGGGAGGGTATCTGAGACAAAGGTCCACACCACCTACACTACTTGTTTGTTTTGTTGATGTTGCCCCTGTATTGAACCGAACCAGTTTGTCGGGTCTGCTGTCTGCTTTTGTTGACATTGCCGAGAGGCGAGGGGATTGGGTTTTGTGATTGGGAGGGATTCGAGAAGGGGATGGGATGGTATCCCATGTATTTCCGATGTGTGGGAGGGGAGAGGTATGCTGCCTCGTGTGCCAGGTCAGTTAACTATCCTTCAAGCTGTATGGTAGATTGATGAACCAAGGGAGACAGATCATGTTTTGGAGATATTACTGGAGAGCAAGATACATGGATTGTAAAATATGGTATAGTTAGATAGATCACACTTGAAATTATTCTCTGTATAGGTGGTTTATGATGAATCAGAAATAAGAGGCAAGAGGTCATTCTCATGAGCTTAGGGATTTAGAGATTTTGAGTATTAGATTCATCAATTGGGATGTTAAAATGTCAGTAGAAGAGCAGATAACGCGTACAATACACCCAGTATCTCCAGGGAAAGTGACACAGAGTTTCTACAGGCGGCATACTTCCCAAGTCTGGTCTCAACAATACCAAACCGAGTATATTCCCACAGCATCACTCCAACATAACCAAATAACAAAAGAGAAACCACTGTGGCATCTTAATTATTTACATAAAACAGGAGACAGCATCGAAGAAAGCCCCTTAATCAAGACTCATACTGCGTATTCATCCCACACGAGAAGAGAAAACCACATGTCATATTTTATTTTCCACAATGCCGTAATGTCGACTCACAAAAATGAGGCAAACCATGATATATCACACCACTTTACTTCCATTGCCACTCTGATGAAGCGGGATGAATAACTACTATCCCACCACACCTCCACTACGGCAAAGAGTGATGACTCAAAATAAATATAAATAACCTTGAACAAATACCGAGGCATCTTGATAGCTTCTTGCCACCGTCAGAGTCACCTCACACTATGAACCCTTGACCCGCTGGAATTCTGAGGGCAAACATCCAAGGTACCTAATCTCTTTGGCTTCACTCTCTATAATTTCCTAAACAAGAAAAAAATATGACATCTCAAATGATGTAATTAATTAATGTGTTTGAGAACCTAAACCTTGATGTCAGAACCTGAGAGGCAACCAACCCTTCATCTCCGGAAGATCCTCCGAGATCAAACTCTACTCCTGAATGTTGCAAAAGTAAAAAGAAATCAAAAAAAAAATAAAAAAATCACGACGCCTCAAAAAATAACAGCTCACTTGGCAAACCGCAGTCAATTTGCCTCTCTTTTTCTTTTTCCCTGACCGCCTGAACTCTTTTGATTGAGCCGATCTTACTCTCAAAATACGTAACCAAAATGCAGAAAAGCAAACATCTCATAAGGCAACTAACTAGTTGCCTCGTTTTCCTTTTTCGAGATCGACGATCTAGATGCCTTGCTGCTTCAAGTAACAGAGAGAAGTACCGGTACATACTGCAAATACTGGACAAGGCGACCAGCTCAAGCTGCAGTAGATCCCATCTTGCTTATCGGTTGCCTTGGTGTTTCCCTTGATATAACTGGAGGAGAGGCAGTTGCCTTTCGTAAGTACCGGGTATGCACATTTTGTGAGACAGAGGAAGACGCCTTTGGTTGCCTTGTTCCTTAGTCTCCTCCCGAATCCCGGGTATGGACAGGAACACAGCATGAGGGCTTGGTTGCCTTGCCCAAGTGCCGGGTACACACATTGTGAGACGGAGGAAAAGGGATCAAGCTCAGTTGCCTTATCACATTACACCTCAGTTGCCTTTCCCAAATGCCGGATATGCAGATGACGAGACGGGAAAAGGATGGTTTGACGCCTTCGTTTCCTTTTCCTCAGGTTGCCTTGTCTCCCAGTCCCTTTCCCGCATGACGGGTAGGCACGGCTAAGATGGAGGCATAAGGTGTAATGCCTCAGTTGCCTTTTTTCCAGGATTCCTTGCTCAAGATGGATGAATAATTTGTAATACCTCAGTTGCCTTGTTACTCAGGCCCGAGTATCGGATATGCACCCTTCTGAGACAAAAGAAGATAGTTTGACGCCACAGCTGTTAATTACAGTTGTCAGGTTGTTCTTGTGCCGGATAGGTATGAACAGTCTATTGCAAAGGAAGACGGCACAATATTTGCGCAGGTCTGCACAAGTCATGTGGACGGGTGTATGTGATGTGAGCCCTGTTTTTCGTTCAAGGAATGCCTATTTATTTTATATAAAGTCTTCTTCATTATGAAAAAATACCTTTTTTCATTATAAACCACACCCATTCTTTTCTTTTTTTTTTTTTTTTTTTTTTTTTAAAAAAAAAAAAATTAAAACATTACAGACGTTTCCTACCACGATATACATTCCTCACGAGAAATACAATCTTTCCTTAGTCCTCTTTCTCGAATACCGGGTAATTATGCACATTTTGATACAGATTAATACCGTATGGTATGATACTGCAGTTACCTTTACTCACCCAAGTGCCGGATGAGAGGTACATCCTCTGAAAAAGAGAAACTTGGCAAGACGCCTCAGTTACTTTCACACCCCCAAGTCCCGAATGAGAGGTAAATCCTGTAAAAAGAGAAACGCCTCAGTTACTTCCACACCCCCCAAGTGCCAGATGAGAGGTACATCCCGTGAAAAAGAGGAACATGACAAGACACCCTCAGCTACCTTTCTCCTTCCTAGTGACTTTCCCACTAACACAGCACGACGTCTTGATGCCTAACTCTCAGTCATCTTTCCCCTTGGTTCCCGCACTTCCCAAGTGCCGGATACTCGCGGCCTGAAACAGTCCAACAAGACTTAACGCCTCATTAATCTCATTGCCGAAGCTAGCACTTGCTCATAACAACTCATCAGCCCCTAGGTACTTAACTGCCGATGTATCCGAGACAGGAATAAAAAACCGTAACGCCTCAGTAATAAATCCCGTTTCATGTCTGCTCTGCACTGTGACCAATCCTCCATTTCGTGACAAATCATGAAGAAAAGAGTACAAGACGCCTCATTGTAACAGATCAAGCGGCATTCTCCGTCGGGTATCCAACCTTCGGATACCTAGGTACACACCATCGGCAGTGGGACGGGATAGAAGATGCAGTATGACGACCAGACAAACCCGATTCAACTCGGAATAAATCTTGATGCCTTACTGAGCCTGAGGAACTTTTGTCGTCCCGACACATGCAAGCACCCGAGGGTCCACGCTCTACATGGCAAGGCAACCCAATCCGGGCCAACTCGGGATGTTTCGTCAGAGAAAATTGACTCTCAAGATTTTGTATTTGACAGAGATGGTTTCCGCTTTCTTGAGAAGAAAACAAGGGATAAAGTTTGACGCCTCGGTAATCTCAACAAAACCTAATGGGTGGCATCCCCTCTCAGTCAACAAACAAACAGTCTTCATACTGTGTACATCTCGCTCGACAATTGATAGGTATAGATGGATACTGGTGGGAGGAGGAGGAAAAGAAACAAGTCCGACGGCTAGAGAAGCAAACAACATGAGACCGGGGAACTTTTTATCGAATCATCATCTCGTCAACAGGAGCTCCGAAACACCTGGGAAGAAGAATTATGACGCCTCACTTCTCCGTCGAAGCGAATATTCCAGGCCCTTCGATTCGACCGCGGCGAGGAAACCGATTGCCTGACACCACTTCGTATCCCGTTGATGCAGATCTTCTCGACCAAACCAGTGTGCGGGGAACGACATACACCACTCTCCACTAAGAGCAACAATTCACCTCCAATCAGGAACTGAGGACTGAGACCACCTACCGAGCTGTAACATCTCATATTCTGCAGGATCGTCAACAGAACAAACAATTGACAAAAGGGATACCGTGGATACCGCATTAATGCCTCAGCAAACTTTCCCCCGACGTGGAAAAAAAATTAGGCGCCATTACCGTCATGCTTTGGGGGAGAAGGAGACACCTTCCATCGGAGCCTTTTGTGTCTCATCGGTTACTCGTGTAACATTACACGAAAAAGTACCGCCAAGGAAAAAAAGAAACAGATGGTGGAGAATGAGGAGACCAGTCGGTAGGAGTGTCTTTTGTCCTTGGCTAATTTGTTTGATACAGTGATCAAGATAGTAACAAGACTGGTTGGTGGTGATGAAGGAGTGATGGACGGCGCGATGAAGGAGAAGACGTGATGGGGTTGACAAAAGATGATAATGGAAACAATAATACAGAGTAAACGGTAGGTGTGAGAAATGAGAAAAGACTAATAAACTTGAGAGAAAATAAAAACAAAAGAGAAAAAGATATGTCCCCGGTCGGGTTCGAACCGACGTCTCTCGCTGTCTTAAAGATATGCTGGAAAATCAAACGCTGAAAAACATCAAATGCTAACTATTGCGCTACGAGGACGGTGGAAGGATCAGTTGTTCGAAACTAAATAGTGCTGGGGGACCGATGCTGTGTGGGTGGAAGAAAAGATTCTGGTTCTGGTGGGTATCGTGGCTTGCCGACCATGGTTGAGTTGGGGCACGTGCGGAGGGGACGGATTTTGAGGGCGAAAATGGAGACAGTTTTGGTGACAACATATGGATTTTATGTACTTCTTCTGTTGGCGTCCATCAGTCCTGTGCCAGACTAAACATGAGGACGTCTGTTGCCCACGGGAGATGCCCACTGAAGCGGAAGAGGCCAGTCCTGTGTTACCCGACAAGGGAAACCACTTCCATTTTCGTCTCCCCAGATATCTGGATCCTCAATCTTCCCGGATCAGATCTCCATCTCCTCATCCTGCTCCCACGTCTTCCCACTCAACTTCCTCCTCTTGACACCCTTCTTCTTTTCCTCAGGCTCACCTTCAATCTCGACCTTTTTCCTCTCCTCCTCATCAACCACTGCCTCCACAACCTTCTCTTCAACCTCACCCTCAACAAACACCTCCCCCCCCCTCTTACCCAACACCTCCCTCCCTGCCTCCTCCAACAAAATCCCTATAGCCAACAAAGCAGTCTCATCCATACTCCTCTCATCCACCAACCTCTTGTCTGTGCCTTTCCCAGCACCCACTAAATCGTAAAATTTTGATACGTACGAATGTAAACAAACCAACAGCTCACTCTCGGGCAACCTAACATCTGTCCCCTCCAAATCTTCGCTCGCCCAGTAGGTATCATATTCTATCCATTTTCCGGGGGCGTTTTTGCGGCGTAATAAGGCTTCCTCTGGAGTGAAAGGGGGGATTGTTTTACTGAAGGAGTGACGACGAGGTTTTGAGGTGGGACTGGCGTTTCCTTTGGGTGTGGTTTTGTGAGTGGATTGGAAAAGAGGGTGTTCCGGTGGGTATATTCTGCCTAGGATGAGGTTTAGTATAGTGAATAGGTAGAGCAAATGAAGAGAAATAATTACCAGCAACGGCATCGTAGAGACTGTATTGTCTGCGATGAGATGATGATATTGGCTTTTGTGGTGATGAAGGGGAGGGTGAGACTGGTGCTGCTTGGGGAGAAGGTGATGGTGCTGGCGGGGATGAGGATCGGTCTGGTGATGGTGCTGGCGGGGATGAGGATCGGTCTGGTGATGAAGCGGGCGATGAAGAGGGTGATGAATCCATTTTGTAAAGTATGATGGTAAAACTGAAAATGAAAACTTGGGTTGGCAATTACGCGTTCTGGTATCGCGGGTGTGTCAACCGAATGAGAATTGTTTTATTTTGAATCAGTTAATTGAACGGGAAATGAAAATTCATCAATATCACACATTCGTACAAGCCAGGCAAGAGCGTTGTTGAGATTGGAAATTGATGTTGAAGTTTCGAAACTCAAAACCCATCATTTCACGGCACTTCAAGAAGGCTTGGCCCCACTTGATTTTGACCTCAAGGAAAGACCTCCAGGTCTCGACTTCCTTTCAATAACAAACATGTCGAAAAAAAACAAACAAAAAAACCCTGGAACCTTTTGACATTGAAATGGATCTCAGCATTGCCCATCTCCCCAAAAATTGAGGGAAGCCAAAAAAATTATTCCATTTTTTCCCTTCTGACCTCTTCATTCATAACGTTACAACTCCACACCTCCAACTTATCACCACTTTTTCACTTCATCTCCAAACCCACAATCCAGGACTTATGATATGCAACCAAAAAGTAAAGAGACAAAAATCTCTTCAGCTGCATGATCGAGTTCTCCCGAGAGATCATCGATCTGACCGGCGAAGGTTAACAACGGGCCTGTAAAACACCCTATGACATCATACCCTCCCTCAGCTTCAACCACGCCCGGGCATTTGGCGCTGGTCTTGGCTCTCCAACCACTCAGGGTCCAAGAAGACAACACGCACGCCCAGTCAACACCATTTTTCTCAATAACTTGTTCTTTGAGTTTCTCTTGGTCTGTGCGATAACCTGTCGGTGTGACCAGACAACAGTGACGTGGTTCTGGATGGCTGGGGAAATTTGGCACGCGGCTACAACGGCCCAAAAGTGCCGTTTGATAATATGGGAAAGGAAAGCAAACACGGCAATCGGCTTCGGAAGAGGGACACTGAAACAATATCAGGATTTGGGTTGATAATGGGATGCATCTCTCTTTCTTGGAAAATGACGATGCCAATCAAGGCACAAGCTCCCCCTCCTAACGATAAGTAGGTTTAGTATTTAGGGAAGGCCACCTGATACCCTTTTTTACCTCGCCTCTTCCCTTTTTGTTCTATTCTGTATCCTCCAAAGTCTATTCCCTCTAGGGGTCGTACAAGTCAAGTCTCCTCCACCTTTTCCCTTCACTCTCCATCAAACACATAACACAACAACACAACACACCAACACACAAAAAAACAAAATGGCTCTCGCAGAAATCCTCTCCATGGTCCTCCGCCTAGCGGAACTGGCCTTTGCAGCCATCGTAGCCGGTCTAAACGGCGATTACCTCCACGCTGCTCGGGGCGCCTCAGCCTGGGACCTCGGCCGTCACATCTACACCGAAATAGTCGCTGGTCTTGCCATAATCTTTGCAATTTTGTGGCTCTTCCCCTTTAGCTCATCTTTCATCCACTGGCCCGCCGACTTGTTGATCTCGATCATGTGGTTCGTTGCTTTTGGATTGCTCGTCGACTGGATTGGCGGCAGGGGCTGCGGATACATCTTTGACTGGGATGGATTTTCCTTCCGGGATACCGCAAGCTGCGCGCAGTTCAAGGCTACGATTGCTTTTACCTTTTTGAGTGCTATTTGCTGGTTGGTCAGCGCTTTGCTTGGGTAAGTTTATGTCGTTTTGTCATTACATTTAAAGATGCTAACTGGTTGATGATAGCCTCTACTGGGTCCGTCGCCACACCCGCCGCAGCACCACTGCCGTCACTCCGGGTACTTATCCCCGTCGTCGCTGGTACCGCTCTCGCGTCTAAGTCTTTACAGTCTTGGACGGATGATGCATGTACGGAAATTTCTCTTTTGGTTATGATCTGATGGAATATGGTTCATGGAAATGGATACGATATGATATGGGTTTCTTTTTGCTCGAAGTGTGGAGGAAGGAAATTGGCGATACCCCTATACCCCCTTTTTGCTTCAACACGTCTTTTTATAATGACTTTATCTATGATACTATTCTACTTTTGTATTAATACCGACGTGTCTTCTTGTTACAATGCTGCCATCCCATTGAAGTTACACTTGTTTATCCAACCTCTTAGTGTCACAAGGCATTGAGGATAATCCAATCTGCTTCGTATTATACAATACTATGCTGTTGAAGCAACTACTTGTCGTATGTTTCAATAATCCAATCCCACACTCTTCCTTTGAACAGCTGATGAAGCTCAAGCTGGATCTGCAGTCAATGACGTCGACGTCTGATCTACACTTGTGTGAGCTTGCGGGGCAAAGATGACGCGGTTTCAGGGGAGCTCGCGCCTCAATTTTCAAGCCACATCAGGTTTTCGAGGAGAAAGATTTGCGTGCCACAGTCACATGCCTTGATGAATTCTGCAAGGGAAATCAGTGGATTATGTTACTCGGGGCCTCCCGTCGTAACATTTTGAGATCAGGAACGGTGCTTCATCTGACAGGGAGCTGTGGATACAATTTCCCTTTCTTGTCTCGCGGTGGCCTTTGCTGGGAATAGCTTTACGGCCATGTAGAAATGAAATGATGCCGCCTTCAACTCCCAGCTTTCTTACTGGATGTCATAAATCTTTCAGAATGGTCAAGACTTTTACACCAATTCCATCACGTAACCTCTGTCAGGCCTGTAAGTCCAGACGCGGAGATGCAAGCTGCGAGAAGAACAATTATTTTCATCCTTCTAATGATCACTTCAAGAAAACCAATTCCAATCACGCCAAGTTTGAGTTCAATTGCCTTGATGATTGTCATCTAAGGTGATTGCTTTCGCCATGCCCCACGGAATTGACATATGCTTAATATTGGTGCATAACTTTGGATATTGAGATATTGAATCAAAAATAGTCAATTGAACCAAATGGCACGTGAAAAGAAAAAAATTGCCTTTGCATGAAAGTTGCGAATTGAGATGATCGAGAGATCAGTGGGGAACGTTGACGTGGCTTGGCATACATCATCGTCACCACTACGTCAGAACCTCTTTTTCGAAGGAAGCTGTCAAACAATTCGCGGGCCGAATACCCATCAAACGGGATTGAATTTCAGGTGACCCTCTTTCTGCCTTGAGACGACAGGTGAAAGACAGGTGGATTTCCTTCCGCATGCAAAAAGGGTGACGCCTATGAGGTAATCAACCCACTTAACACCCAAATTGAGTGGACGAGATGCAAGTAGCCATAGTGGTACCTTCCTGTAACCGACCAAGAAGGCGCAAAATGATGCCTTTCTTGCGGATGAGAATGACGCTCATTGTTCAAGATGGGGAGCCGGTTTTCCCATCTTTGAGATGATCAATTGGGCATATAAGGACCTCTTCCTCCTCCCTCGAACCAAACTTGTATTCTCCCTCATCATCACACATCAAAAGATACAATCAAGCAATCAACTACAACTAAACTCAAACAAACAACACACAACACTCTTCAAACACAAAACACAATCAACATGTCCAGCATCGTCAACAAGATCAAGGAGGTTGTCCACTCCGACAAGCACTCTCAGCCCGAGGGAACCTCTGGCCCACACAACTCCCGCGTTGCCAACGCCGCCGACCCGCGCGTCGACTCTGATCGTGATGGCTCCCACCACGTAGGAGGCCGCACTGCTGGCCACGGAGAGATTGGAAGCACCGGTCTTGGTCACTCCACCGGCACCACCGGCACCCACACTTCCGGCACCTCAGGCTTTGGCACTCACACTTCCGGCACCACTGAGGGCGCTCACGGACCTCACAACTCCCGCGTTGCCAACACTCTCGACCCCCGTGTCGACAGTGACAGAGATGGCTCCAAGA